ATACTACATTTTGCAATAGAGGAAGATGTCCTTCCTTATGAATAGTGTTTTGATGATTATAGGCCGAGAGGTTAGGTGTAAGAGACAATTATAGGGTTGATTACCTATTGTGCTTCATCTTACATAAGTACATTGTCCTTGGATCTTCATAGGGTGGTTAAATCCAACAATCATTTTATGTGTAATGTTGGGCCCAAACTGAGTCCAAGTTGATTGGGTTAAGGGTTCATTGCCCTTGAGTAGTGAATTCGGCCTAATCTCTTCTCTAGGTGGGGTTGAACCCTTATGGATTTATGTAAGAATTTTGTGGGTCCCATGTTATACAATATTCAGGCCTTAAGTGGCCATACAACACCTTGGGATGTGAGCCATTAAAAAAATAGGCCTAAGGCTCATTACTAATGTGATTAGTTAAGTGATCACATGCATTTTATTTGAATCGAAAATGGGAATGGATCTAGGTATGGAGCACCCACTCTCTTAAGAACATAATGCTTATTCAATTAGAGATAAAGTCTTGATCCAAATCTGATTTGGATAAGCTCCTAATAGGATTAGGAGAGTGCTCTATATAAGGGACTAAGAGGGGAGGAACAATTCACTTTATTCTCTCCATCCTCTTGCTCTCTTATCTTCTCCCTTGCTTCCCACAAAACCTAATTCAAATCAACTATGTTAGGGGCTGATCCTCATCGGTTCTCTAATGTGTTTTTGGAAGAAAAACATTAGAGGATACTAGGTTCACACATCCATGTTGATCCAAGCAAGTTGGGAACTGRTTTTGCTGAAATAATGTTGTTGAATCTACTTTGCACACAGCTGCACCATCTTCAGTTGGAGGCTGATTTTGGATTTGATATTGGGCGTGAATTACCATTCTAGGAGCTGTACACTATGGTTTCTGTAACAGGTATAATCAATTTTAATTTGGGTTTCAAATCTAATTAGGTCCAGTGCAAGACTGACCTCGAATTAATTTCAGATTTCAAAATCACTAGGAAACTAGTTCCTTAGTTGGTTAAAAAATTTTAAAAATTCAGCCAACCACTGGATTTGGTTTAGTCATGTCTAAGACTTGGCTCATCCTCTATCTCCTTCCAACTTTTTTCAAACCATCTCCTCTCAGTGGCTTCAACTAGTGGAAGGAAAGAGAAATACCCCCTTAGAAGTTCGATTCAAGCACACAAATGATGAAAGCAGTTCATTATTCATGACTAAGAAAGCCAAAATAAGGTATTACAATTTGTTTTTGCAACTAGAGAGGCTTTAGAAGGTAGATTAATTAATATTGGGCCATTGGAATTTAAGGGTCTCAACATTGAAACTCATGGGATGCCCTAGTAAGATTCCAACAACCCATTTATCTCACTCTTGTTCGCCACTTCTATGCTAGTTTCTCCTTAAACCAGACATATAAGTTAGATTCTTTTGAAAAGGGTGTTAGGGTTCAGTTAACCATTGTAGAATTAGGACATCTTTTGGGGATTCCATGTAAAGGCCTCATTAAGGGAAGGCTTTCAGGCTACACCCCCCAACCATTGAGGCACGTGGCTTTTTCATTTAGACACATGGCATTTTCTGAGAAGTTGTTGTTAAAGTCCACAACTCATTACCACCATTCAAACAAATTGCCTTCTCATTTTCTAGAAAGCTAGACACGTGGCAATTTTTAAGAAATTCTACTAAAGCCCACAACCCATTACCAAGCTACAGCTCCCCACCATTCATACACATGACCTTCTCATTTTTTTTTTGGAAAACTAGACATGTGGTATTTTCTGAGAAGTTACCCACTACCACCATTTTCAATCCAATCTTAAAAAAATGTAGAAAATGCAAAAGTGGTTATCCACAACCAATTCTACCTACATTCTATCAATTTCAGTTAATCATTAACCCTCTACGTATCATAACAAAAGAAAACTATCCATATTATTCTAATAGTTATTGAAAAGCTAGTTTTTGAAATAAATATTTCTTGAAAGTTTAATAATTATTTAAAATATTAATAAATATAAATTTAACAGTATTGATTCTATAATGTAAATCTAACATTACTGATTCCTTGTTCTTAGTAAGGAGTCATTCACTAGTGGTATATGAAAAAGAGGGGTTGTTATCATTCTTAACTTTGAGGGTGTTAGTTATCATTCTTATAGACCCAATTTTGAAAAAGAGGGGTTCTCTTGTATGGAGTTGCTTCTGCTGTATTATATCAAGACTGGAAGGCTTGTTAATTTGCCATACATCATTATGATACACATGTTAGAAGCAACATTGAGCAACAGTAGTCCATTGCCCTATGTAATGATATTGACCAAAATCTTTACTCAACTTGCGGTGAGTTTGAGAAATAAACCCAAAATAGCCACTAAGGATTGTAAACTCATTAATATGAGGACGTTGAAAAATATGAATCTTATAAGAATGTTGTAGGAGTTTGAGTTGACATAGGAAGTAGAGAGGATTGGCCATAAGTGGATGAGGAGCATAGTGAACAAGATGATGTGCTTGAATGTTTACAAGACAACTCTTATAAGAGATTTTTAAGCAAAAAGAGTGTTATCTTTGTGAGAAATTAAAAGAAAAAGAGTGATTTGAGTTTGAATTGTTTCTCACAGCAATGAAACTTGAAATCTCCCTAATGCCTTAGCATATTGGTTTGGGATTTCCATTATTGTGTTATATGTTAACACATGTATGCTTTCTTTAGCATAAATTTGGAAATTATCAAGATATTGAAGAATGAGCAAAACAACTACACTGTTTATGTCTTAAATCTTAGTTCAACTTTATTCCTTCCTATTTTCTTAGTAGTGATTCTTTTTAGAGCTTTTGCATATAGAATAAAAATATATTATGAAAGAGGGTCTCCTTATCTTATCCCCTTAATTGACTTAAATTTATTTGTCAATGATCCATTTATCAGCATTAGCTCCATCATCTAGTTGATTCATTTTGTCTAAAACTTAGTTTAATTAGGACTTTTCTTATAAATTCTTATTAAATGGGATATTGGGAAAATTTAAGAGAGGTAATCTGCGGGTAGTGACACTTAAGGGTGGACTTAAGTGTTGATTTTTAAAAGTACAAGGCAACTCATTGTCCAAGTAAAAGTTGAAGGACCTCTAGCGTCACTACCATCCCTAAAGTATAGGGTACCTCCCTAATTTTCCTAGGCTGTGTTTGGTTGCAAAGCAAATAAATTTGCACTATGTAAAACTAAGGCGGTGCAAATGATTTGAGTGTAAATTCTTAACTAATTTTGTTTGATTGTAGTACAAATGAAGTAAATTAAGACCTGAAGCAGAATAAAGTAAAACCCAAAATACAATTAAACGAGAATTTGCATTCTTTTCATTTGCACTCCCATGCATTTGTACTAGTGCAAATAAAATTGCACTGCAACTAAACACAACCTTAGGCTCAATTTGGCAAGAGTACAAATACAAATATGTATCTATGCAAATGCAAAGTTGGTTTAATTTTGCATTGATAAATTTACTTTCTTGCCAAAAGATTTTTAATTGTAATGAGTATAAACACAAATTCTTAGGTTGGAATCTATCTTTGTTTTTTTGTTTTTATATTGACCAACTTTGAGTGAAAGTTTACATTCATTTTTTGGATGCAAACATGCCTTGAAATTTGTGAAAGCTCATCTTGAGAGGGCTTTTGCATTGGAGGTGAGGTGCATTAATTCAGTTGTGATGGTTGAGCATCCATGATTCAAAGAAGCTACCTGGAGTAGCTTCCCATTTTAGTTGTGTTTCTCACATCCAGAATACAATACAGTGATTGGCTTTCAAGATTTTCACCAAACATAGCTTCTAGCATTCTCATATGGGGCCCAGCTTGGAATGTCAGAATCTGCATCCCGAAAAACCTTTCAAACCGGTGCTAAATGCATTCTTACCAAACACTAGCAAAATTGAACCAGAGTGCATATATGCATTCAACCGGCATTTACACTCCTAAATGGAATAAAAACAGAAAGTTTTGCACTGTACATCTTTGTACTTACAATCTTCTTAAATGGAGCCTTAGGTGCAAACTTTGAAATGAGGATATCCATTTTCTCAGGCCCCAATGTATTATCAAGTTTTCAGTAATAATTTTATAAATTAAATTATAAAGGTCGATAAGTTTGAAATAATTTAGCTCATTTGGATTTTTATTTAGGGATTAATATAATGTACACTTTGTTCATCTCTCTATTCATTTTACATTTTTACCGGAGTGAAAGAATGCATGTACAACTTTTATAATTGTGTCTTGTACTATGTCCTAACACATTATGTTGTATTTTGTTCATTTTACTAGAGTGAAAGATTGATGCACAACTTTTATAATTGTGTCATGTACTATGTTATGTCCTAGGGGTGAGCAAATGAGTATATTTATCCAGAATTAAATGGAACCAACCTCGAATCAGTCTTGAATTAACCTATCTAATACACTACTGGGTAGGGTTTAGTTCCAAATTCATGGAACTGACCTCATCTAAGAGGATTCTAAGGTTTAAGGGTTTACCTACCCAAACTAATCCAAAAAATGGCCTAAATTGGCTTTGGTAGAACCGACCTTGAATCGAATTAATTAAATAAAATGGATAAGTGATTAATTAAATAAAATAAAAAATTTTAAATTTATAAAAAAAAAACAAATTAAAAACAATAACTTTGGTGAGGTTCTCCTAAATAATAACGACAATCAATAGAAAGGGTATTGGCGTTTGTGTTTGACATGTCACTGGCGCCTGTTTGCACCCAATAACTATCTGCCACGTGGCAAATCAGCAAACATACATTCAAGTGGTAACACTAACAGGAAGCAAGGGTTCTCCCCGGAGCAGGATGATGCAATGCAAGTATGCAACAGCAAAGACCTGGAGCTAATGCTAACGCCTGACGGTGGTCCTACGCTCCCAGAGATAACCAAAATAAACGTTACTTCTACACGTGCCGATCACACATGGTAACTGATAGCAGAGACAGAGAGCAGGGGCACTTTCGTAAATTAGAAATGCTCGGAACTTCGGATATGGTTTCCATCGTCTCGTCAACTGCTGAATTCTTTTCTCTCTTTCTGGATTTCCTCAAATGAAGGCAGAGAGGGTTTCATCGTTCAATCGAGAATCGTTCTTTCAAATAATGCTAACTGTGTTGTAAATTTGTTATACAAATAATAATTAATAAATAAAGCTCTGTTGCTGCGATCTGATCTGATCCGATCTCATCGAAATTTTCGAATTCGGATTTCTCGCTTGTAGTGGGAAGGCATCTATGCCCCAACTGGTTCTTATTCGTTCTATGATCGTTGGTTCAATAAGAGGTAAGCTTATTTGTTCGATTTCATTTGATTTGTTCGTTTGCACACCAGCTCGTTTGTAAAAGGAGTTTGATTCTGATTTGGTTAGGGTCTTGTGTTGGATGAAATAACGAGGTTAAAGCTTAGGGTTCAGTGTGTGCGTTTGATTGGTATTGTGTTAGAAAAATTGTATCTAAGTTKCGGTTTGAGCTGAATAGGTTTCATGGTTATTAGTTTTATTTGTATATTGTTTGTGAGGATCGGAATTGATTGATTGCTTACTTGCATGTATTGTAAAAGCCACTTAATTGATCACTTGTTCAGAAGCCACTTAATTCATCAAGTTGGTCGAGCTGAGATAACAAGGTGTGGTTGTTCTATATGTCTGAACATATTATGGTCTCATTGATCAATGGAACTTTCGTGTAGTTTGTTTTGTTTGTTCCTTGTAGGAGCAAGCATTTTTTGACCAAGATTGAAAAGTGCCCTGATAGTTCAGCTATGCACCTGCAAAGGCTGAGTTTGTCTTTCGAAAYTCCGATCTTCCTATTTGTTTTTTTTTTTTTTCAAATTCCATGTTTTTTTTTTGGCTAACTGGAGTCTATTCGTAGTAGAAAGAAGTCAACTAGAGAGTCTTTTGAAGAGATGGCAATGAATCTACTACCTTGGGATAATAACTCCTCCGATATCCGTTAGCTTCAGTGATGAAGTAGCACCATTGATATTTATTTTTACCTGCCATTTCCTGTAGTTTGTAGTTGATATGTCTGTAAGCTCCTTATGCATACACATTTGCACTTCTCCATATTTCTGTCAGATTGAAACTCATCGTAGAAGCTTTTAAGAACTATAAAATACTTACGGTTCTCCTGGATAAGCTTTGGGTTGATAATTTTCCCGGAAACACTTCCTAGATGTTAAGTTACTCAAATCGAGAAATGTTCCAAAGAAACTGAACAACCTTAATTCCTTCAAAGATACATTTTGTGGTCCATACTAGATCCCATATTGCAAATATCTATGAAATTCAACGCTCCCTCATTTTAAACACCATGAAATGTTAGGTTTTCTTTTTATGCAATTTTACCAATCAGGAAAAAAGGGTTAATTACTTAAATGTACCCTGTGGTTTTTTGAAGCTACTTAAATATACCCTATGGTTTTCAAAGCTACTTAAATATACCTTGCTAAAGCATTTAACCATTAACAGTAACAGAAAAAAATTATAAGACTAAAATGTCCATAATTGTTTTTCAGATTTTCAAAACATGAGCTTAGATTGTCAACTGATGGAGTGCCCAACAAGTACAGAGAAGAACAAAACCTCAGACTGGATCTTCTTTCTCCTTCTCGTCCTTCCATTTCAATGGTAACCAGGGATTTTAACATTCCTGAATTAACAGATCTAATATGCCACAGAATCTATGCAAAGAGAGGATTGAATGGACATGCTGTTATTGAATAAGCCATGAGAACCTAGCATGTTAATCACGCATTGGTGACATATAATAACCCAAATGCATTTGTTAAATCAATTAACAGATTTGATATAAAAATGACCAAAAAACAAAGAAATCATAGATCTGATATCACACTGTATAGAGCTCAAAACCTCTTTGATTCTATTGATCGAAATAGGGGCATATAGGATTAACACCCTTAAGAACTACAACAGGAGAAAATTGCCTTTCTACATATCTCTCTCTTACATACATTAGCCCCAATTCCTCCACAAYGGAAATGAAAGAATATAAACCCTATTAACAATTATGATAATCTCCAATTGATTTGATCTTCTTCCTAATGGTCCGTTTGGTTGCTGAGAAGGGATGAGATGAGAAGGGATGGGATGGGAAAGGATGGGATGAGAAGGGAAAATTTATTTTCTCATTTTGGCATTCCAGTGTTTGATTGCTGAGAAAACTTTTTGCTTGATTTTTTATATTTTGACAGAAATACCCTTTAAGGATACCCAAAATTATAAAAATACCCTTATTCAGGAAAACTAAGTTTTTCATTTGATTTATTATACTGCTTGTCGTCCTCCTTCGAACTCAAACCAGTGGCATGGATGAGGTGAGTTCCAATCTCCCCTTATTTCTCTCTCTCTCTCCCCTCTTTTTTTCGATTTATTATACTGTTCATTGTCTTCCTCCCTTCGAACTCAAAACTAGTGGCGTCGACAAGGTGAGTTCCAATCTCCCCTCATCTCTCTCTCTCTCTCCTCCTCTCCCTCTTTCTTTTTTTTCCTCTTCTTCTTCATCTTTTTCTTCGCTTGCCTCTGCTACTTGAACCAGTGACGATAGCAAGACTTTTGTCCCTCCCCTTTTACTTGATTTCAGCCACCCCTGTTTGCCGCCTCATCACTTGCGCCTCTACCGGACTATCATCACTTGCGCCTCCACCGGACCTCTCTCCATCTCTGACAGCGCCACTACTATTTCAATGCAACTGTTTCAGTGCGCCTCCACCGGATCTCGATCAGCTTGACTTGTATTTTTCGCGTGTTTGCCGCCTCATCACTTGCGCCTCTACTGGGCTATCATCACTTGTACCTCCATCAGACCTCTCTCCATCTCTGACGATGCTGCTACTATTTCAGTGCGACCGTTTCAGTGTGCCTTCACTGGACCTCGACTAGCTTGACCGTTTCAGTGCGACCCCGCGTTCCAAGTTTTGGGAAACCACGTCTCACTATTTCTCGGTCCGTCTCACAAAACAAACAAATGAAAATGGGAATCTAAGGAGAATATTCCCATTTTCTCTTCTCGGTCACACCAACCAAACAGACTGTAAGTTCCCTATATCGAAGTATAAGAATTCCTCAATTCTAAAGCCAACCCACAAATTGTTCAACAAGACTCCCCTACCATGGTCCATGGAATCCAGTTGGAGATGTGGAGTGGCAGGAACTGTTCCCAATGTTTGGCAAGCTTGATTCAGAGGGCTGAATACTCCAAGGTGTTTTCTTGAATAAAGATCCCCACCAAGATTCAATCTTGTCTCCAATGCAAAGGTACCTGTTCAAAGTCAAATAGAGCTTCAGCAGTTTCATACGTTCTTCCTCCCCAGGGAGCGGAAACTCAATCACCTTATCCATCCAGTCTGTGATGACGCTGTCAAGTCCTCACAGTGAAATTGAAGCTGGCACCTACAGTGCAGCAGTTTTTGGCCAAAGCCAAAAGGCAGTAAGTGGGTACTAGGGAATTGTGACTTCGAACTTAGATTGGAAGTACTCTTCTGACTATCTGTGCCGTTGAATCTTCACTTCCTGTTTGCCAAAAACAGGGAGTGGGAGCTTTGGGTCCCCTGCAACAGTCTGAGAAAGCCCAGGTCACACAATTGAAAACACCCTGGCATTTGTTGTTTAGTGGTACCTGTTGAAGTTCTGCAGCAGGTAATGAGAAGCAAGATAGAAAGAGAAGAATCTGCTTTGTTATTCTCTAAAAACAGAAACTTAGTAGTTCAGGTTGACGGAGAAAGCCATAGAAGATTCATTCGGTGGTCAGAGAAAGAGAACCCAAATAGTTTAAGTGGGGGTAAAACTGAAATTTTAATAAAATAAAAAATACATGTGATATCACATGCAAATGGCCAGAAACGTTTGAGTAACGGATGGCGTATTTGTGTCAAGTGGGGCCATCCCATTAGGTATACTTAAATAGTTTTTGAAACCACAGGGTATATATTCAAGTAGTTTAGGCTCAGTTTGGAAAGAGTACAAATACGAATATGTACAGTATAAATACATAAAAATAATAGAAAATACAAGATTTTGCACTCTATGTATTTGTATTTGTACTCCTTCCAAACTGAACTTTAGTGAAATCACAGGGTATATTTAAGTAATTAACCCCCAAAATAATCTTTAATTCTTAAATGAAGTTCTGTTTATTGTTATTGACAAAACATGAGGTGTAATGATCCCCCTCAACACACATAAAAAAGGTCAGTCAATCAAGATCTCTTAAATAATGTTATATTTGAAGAGGAGGTGTTAATTTTCACCTGGTTTTTTTGCATAGTCGATGCAATGTCATGAGTCAGGGTGCCAGGACCTTTAGATGTATGAGGCATAAACCTCAAGACATGGGCTTAAGCCTCTTGAGCTATAACTTTTTTAAGGGAAAAACATGAAACTAAGGAAAGGTCACTTCTTTCCAATTTAGGCATTTAACCCATTCCAGATCTCTTAGATAATGTTATATTTGAAGAGGAGGTGTTAATTTCCACCTGGTTCTTTGCATAGTGGATGCAGTGTCATGAGGCAAGGTGAAAAAAAACAAAACAAAATAAGGAATGCATAAAAATATAAATGAACAAAAGGTTACTTTGTAGGAATACAAGGAGTTTCAGATAAGTTCATCATATTTTTAGAAGCCACTTAATGACTAGTAAAGAGCTTTAAATGTAAAATGGTACCTCAAAACTTAGATATGTTGAAACATACATACATGCGTAGATATATTAACATACACACTCATACATTTAAGCATCCCAAGTTGTGAAGAATGTGCCCTATACTTACAAGTGTGAGCCTCAAGTTCAGCCTTGAAGTGTTTTCCTTGAGCCATGTCTCAGATGAGTCTCAAGGCATAAGTTTCATATAAGTCCATTACCCAAAGCATAAGCCTCATATGTTTTTTAGAATACTGACTGGATGTTGTGCCTCTATCACTTTATTCATTATGAAATCTTCAGTTCAAATTTACTATCATCTTTTCTACAAATATATCATCTGGGTTTATATGGAAGAACAACTTTACTATCATCTTTTCTACAAATCTTTAGTTCAATTTTTGAAAGCAAAAATCAATGAGTGGAATTTGGTGGAGTTTGGGAGGATAGGAAAAAGAAAGGGAGATCTACTGGATAAGATTGAAAGCCTTGACTCTAAAGAAGAAAGGGGAGAACTTGGAGAGGAAGACATTGAGCTCGGGAGAGATTTAAGAAGACAGTTAGAGGATTGCTTGCACAAGGAGGAAATTAGCTGGAGGCAAAAATATCAGTGTAAATGGGTGCAAGAGGGGGACAAAAACACTAGGTTTTTCCACTCTCTAGCAGAAGGCAGGAGAAAGAAGAACCTGATCTCCAAATTGGTAGTAGATGGAGTTGAGCTAGTGCATCAAGAGGAGATTGCCGGGGCTTGTGTGGAGCACTTCAAATCTATCCTAAGAAGGCCTGTGTGTAGAAGGGTGTGGGTAGAAGGTTTGGATTGGCCAGATGTAGGGGTGGAGAACATGAGAAGGTTGGAGAGAAGCTTTAGTTTAGAAAAGATCAAGGAGGCTGTATCTTCTATGGATAGAACAAAAGCCCCAGGGCCAGATGGGTTCACAATGGGTTTTTATCAGGAATGTTGGGACATTTTGAAATATGATCTTTTGCAGGTATTTGAGGAGTTTTACAGGTGAGGAATTGTCAATCCGGGTGTGAATTCCACATTTATAGCCTTAATTCCAAAAARGAARRATGMTTCMCRCCYRAAGGATTTTAGGCCAATTAGCTTGGTTAATAGCTTGTATAAGATCATTGCAAAAGTGTTGTCTTTGAGGCTGAAGAAGGTTTTGCCAGATATCATTGCACGCTAC